GCTAGCCCCGTCTCCCATCGGCCAGTGTGCCTGAGAGTGAAGCAATGCCTGCTCCATGGACTCAGCTCCTATTTATAGAGAGACCTTATTTACCTGAGTAAACAGCCTGTGTGTGCCTACCTCAGTCGGAGGTATTTAAATATCTCGGAGAGGGCTCTCTTTCCCCCTTAAGGAAGAAACGAAACTTTTGTTTCCTTCTTATTATTTAACCCTTTGTTGGCCACAGCTGCAGGCTGGGAGAGTGAGGGGAGGAGGGCTCTGTGTGCTGAGAAATGAGTTCACAAGCTGCTGGGAATAGATGGCTCAGATGGAAGTTTCCTCCCTGGTTCACAAGGGCACTGCTGCTGCAGCTTGGTTATTTTTCTGAGCTCATCTCTCCCATTCCCCCCTTCTCGTTTCTGCTTCATATTACAATCGCTATTACAATTCTCAGATTACAAGATTACAAGATTTAGGGGTCTGCAGAACTCAGGCTCAGGAGTAAAATAATGGCTATCCAATTCGATTGATGTTATTTTCCCACAAGAGGTGTAGCTTTGATTCTCGGCTGAGTAGTTGTCAAATTTACAGCTTGGCACGCACTGGAAAAATAAAATTTCCTAAAATATCTCCTAATATCTGTTTGGTCCTACATGCTAGAAGGCAAAACAGAAGTATTCACCCACAATTTGTAATGCCCTGTAATAGGATGTGGAGTTATTTAAACACAAAGGCTTTTTGCTAACTGACTCTTTTGTAAATATGATTATATTTTCTGGTCTGCGGGATAGAGATCTTGAGTGTACTACATAATTTGAATAGTTTTAAATAGTTTTTTAACATGTTTTGTCAGCCTTTTTATTTCTGAAAGGGTGTGTTACTATTATTGAGGCTTAAATTGTTTTAAATATATAACTTATAAAGGAATGTTAAGAGATGGTGTGGTCAGTAAAAAAACGTAATCGCACATGCATTGTGATTGTGGATCTAGAATTCCACTACATTGTTTACCAATGTGAAATGACGTGTACGTAACACAATGCCAAGCATAAAATGGAGTAAATACAGCTTAACAGATAGCATGGCCTTGTACATCACACAGATGCACATGAATAGATTCAATAGTGGGTTTAGACAGATGGAGCAAAAACTGAACAGTTGTGTTTGGCATTGTAATGTAGCAGAGTTGTTTCATATGTACTGTATATTTTTCAAATATGCCCTTCTAAATACCTAGGTAAAATCACAGTAAGGTGTAGTAAAATACAGCAAGATCAGCGCAAAAGTGTGAAAACATGGTAAGATCATGGATAGGTGATCTGTGGGAAATCTGTTCAAAGTGTATAGGAAATCTGCAAAAATCCTGGGCAGATTCATAATAAAATAAGAAGAGTAAAGAGTTAACTGCTCTGAGAATCTGATATAGCTGTTTCTTGAAATAAAAACATTAGCATTAGCAGAGTATTAGCAGCAGCTGCATGGCAGTGAAGCTTCTAGAACTCCACAGTCCTTTCTGTAAAGGGCTGCTCTCAGTTTCAGACGCACTTCCATTTACTTTCCAATTTGTCCTCTGCCTCCTGTCGCACTGCTCATTCTGAAAAGTAATCCACTGGGTACACTGTGTCAGGGCCTTTGAGGGCCTTTTTGAATACTTGTATCGGGTCCCCTCATAGTCTTCTGTGTTCAAGTACAAAAACGGTTAATTTCCTTCAGATTGTCAGTGTTGGACTCTCAGTTCAGACTAAAGAGACTCCGTTTCTTCAGTCTGTCAGTTTGGGACACTCCCTTAAGCCCCAGAATGTATCTGGTTGCAATCTAGACTGACTCCAGAGCAGCGATATCTTTTTATAATGTGGTGATAGAAAATGTAGAATTATATTGTAAATGAGATCTTACTAGTGCAGTGTACAATTTCAACATCCCTTGATATAAACTCTGCACGTTTAATAAGAACACAAGATTCACCATGGTACAGTAGAGGTCTGTTATCACCATTTCTCAGCCCCTATTCTACAATCGGTTTTATAGAAGGGTTTGAAGGATATTCTTGACTACATATTTAACAATCATATGAATCAATTAAAAGATGTTAATTTTAAGTTTTCTGCAGGAGCCAGTTTTGTGTTGTGCACTGCACTGAGCCTTGTTCCTTAAATGGTGGTGTTCACATCAACTCGATGTTATGCCAACTAAAATACAGTGCACTCTAGAAGAATGTGGACAGTGATGTCTAAACTGGAATTTTCATTATAAACCCTAGCAGTCATTTATCACGAAAAAATATAACTGGTAAGTACGACTT